TGAAATATTAGGTAAAAAGTACAGTTTTGGTTCTTGAATTCATATTTTCCCCTGTACAAGATTCACATTAGAAAGTATTGACATATAATGTCTTTATTTAAAGGGAAAATACCAACTTGCTACAGAAATAAAAGAGAAAGAAATAGAAGGATTGAAGGAAACATTAAAAGAATTACAGGTAACACAATTTAGTTGTATTTAAATGCAATTTATATTTTAACTTTACAGCAGTAAAACTTAAATATGTAAGCTAGGGAAGCAAAATTAATAAAAACTCAGTTATATCAGTGACATACCTTTTGATATGTTACATATTACTTGTTTTCTCCTAAGAGATGTAAAGAACAAATTAGTAGGATTTTTGCTTCATCATCTTTCATTTTAAAACAAAATTGTAAACTAACTTTTGATACTTTAATAGTAATAGAATACAGGTATATATTGATCTGACCACTTTAAAGATGAGTAAAACCAATTCAACACATACAGGTGACTTACATAAGGTTGTTAAAAGTTAAGATAACATTAATTTAATAGTTGGTGCCAATTTTCTAGGAACACAAAGATTAAGAGCCCTTTACTCTCAATAATAGTTAATTATCTGAAGTGCAATATGTATGTATGATTATATGAAACAATGTAAATGAAAGATTGCATATGAATGAAACACCATGTAAATGAATTATTGTATGCAAATTAATTTTTTAAAAAAGGATAAAACATTTTTATGTAGCACAAAGAAATGCACACTTTCATACAAAGAAGACTTCTAAAATATATTTGAAACAAATGCTATTTAAGTGCTAGAATGCTGTTATTCCCTCTTGAGCTGAGAAGAAAACTATTTTTGTTGGTTACGTATGAAACTTGATTATTAAAAATATTCATGTTTCTTCTGTCTAGCAACTGTGAGTGACATATTTTTTGAAATAAAGTTTTATAATGAGGAAAAAAGGAAAACTTTACTCTCAAGTTATTTATGGCCTCATAGAAAATAGAATATAAATTCTCAATGGCTACAACGAGATTAATTGTATCAGAGATGGTAAGGATGGCACAGGATCAAGAGGGTTCAGTTCTGCTATTCATAAGGTCACTATGAGTCATACTCAGTTCCACAGCATTTAACAATAACAAAAGTAGTAACAACTAATGATGATTTATTCAACACATATTTATTGAAGTCTAATATGTTCCAAATATTGCTCTCACCACCAAGAATACAGTAACTCACCTTACTGCAGCGTGGGAATAGATTCATAGAAATTTACCTCCATTGAGTTTCTAAGACTGTAAATCAATTGGAGGAAGGGGGGAGATTGTCAGTCTCTCTAGAAAAACTGCTGGTGGGTTTGGAAAAAGTATTAACAGTCATTTAAAAAAATTGAGAGGGCAGTAGGAAAAATGGAATATTAATTTGTTTAAATAAAATAAAAATAGCATTGAATATCAATATTACTGATTTCATTGATATCATAGCAGAAAGTTATTAGAAAATGCAGTAAAAATAATAACAGGCATACAGATTCAAAAGGGAGAAGCAAAACTGCTTATATTTTTTATAGACAAAATGACCAGGCCATGGTCTTTCTGAGTACTTGCTATCTATCTGAGAGCTGGACAGTGAATAAGGATGACAGAAAAAGAATTGATGTCTTTGAGTTGTGGTGTTGGAGAAGAGCACTGAAAATCCCATGAATATCCAGGAGAACAAACATACATCTTGGAAAAGGTACAGCCAGAGTATTCTTTGGAGGCAGGAATGATGAAAGTATGTTGTTACGAGGGGTTGTTCCTTGGAGAAAGTCAGATGCTGGGAAGAGTGCAGGATTGGTGAAGGAGAAGAAGACCCTCAACCAGGTGGATTGACATGGTAACTGCTGCAGTGAGATCTTGTATGTCAGGAAGTGTGAGGATGGCACAGGATAGAACAGGGTTCAGATCTTTTGTTCAGATGGTCGCTATGTTGTTGTTAGGTGCTTGATGGTACCTAACAACAAAAAAGAACAAAAATGTAGAAAATCTGAGAGCATCTATGAAAAAGCTACTAGAACTGAGAGGTGAGTTTAACAAGGTCACAGGAATGCAATATCAGTATATGAAAAACCAATGTGTTTCTGTATACTAGCAACAGAAAGTTAAATAAAATGATAATGACACTTATGATGATAATGTTGTTGTTACGTGCCGTTGAGTGGCTTGCGACTCATAGCAACCCTATGTACAAGAGCCCTAAATGCTGTTCTATCCTATGCCAACCTTGCCGTCTCAGACACACTGGTTTACACCACTCCACTCACAGAATCGATCCATCTCATCGAGGGTCTTCCTCTCCTGCACCATCCCTCCACCCTCCCAAACATGATGTCCCTCTCCAAGGACCAGTCCTTCCTTGCAACATGCCCAAAGGATGTCAGACGAAGCTTCAGAATTCTTGACTCCAAGGAGCATTCCAGCTTCACTCTCTCCAGGACAAACCTGTTTGTTCTCCTAGCAGTCCATGGTATATTCAATACTCTTCTCCAGCACCATAGCTCAAAGGCATAAATTCTCTTTCTATCATCCCTATTCACTGTCCAACTCTCTGATGCATAGCATGTAATTGCAAAGACTATAGCCTGTATCAGGCGCACCTTAGTCTCCAGCCTGATGTCGCTGCTATTCAGTACTCTTGAGAGGTCCCTCACAGCTGACTTTCCCAATGCAATTCGTCTCCTGATTTCCTGGCTGCTGTTACCAAGAATGTTGACTGTGGAACCAAGCAAACTTAAACTGTTAGCTATCTCAGTCTCTTCAACTTATGATAGCATCAAAATATTCAGAACACTTAGAGATACATTTAACAGAAAACCTGTAATACCATTATACAGAAAATTATAAAATACTGGTTAAAGAAATGAAAAAAAAAAGACACTTGGTAAACACTAGCAAGCTTTGACTCCTATTATAAATATGCCACTTGTAAATATTTCATGTAAATAAGATCCTACTGTGTATGCCTTTTGTGGTTGAGGTACTTAACCCAGCATTATTTATATTTATATATATACATATATCTCACATTTTGTTTGTCCATTTTTTCTGTTGATAGACCTTCAAGTTCTTTCCATGGTTTTTCTATCTCCATAAAGTTTTAGGTGGCTGAGTTTTCAGAAATAGATCAAATTTTTCTTCTGAGGGGCCTCTACTCTTTATTTAGCAGCTCAGTGTGAATTTAGTAATAATCTTTTTAGGGAAGCTGATCTATTGGTGGCTAAAGTTAATAATTAGTGGAATTACTAATATAGTCATATTACTCAGAGTTATGAAAGCAATCACTGAAATAACTAAAAACAGATACGGTTACAAAATGTTGCTGGAGTGATGATAAGTCTGAAAGAAATGAGAACTAAGTCAGGGGATATTGTTTTTCATTATAAGCCTTTCTATGTTATTTTTACCCCCCTCAGGTTCATGTACTACTTGGACCAATAATTTAAAGAATGTTTAAGATGATAAAATAAAAAAATTAGTAAATGACAAATAGAATTACTTGAGATGATCACTGAGTTCTTTAGCTATAAAATTTTATGGCTCTTATAATACCATAGATACCACAAGTAAAGTTTATAATGATCCCACTTGAACTTTCCCCCCCTAATGATTTGGAGAAATTAAAGTTTGTTCTTATATTATAATTGAGAAATAGAAATTGACATTGCAGTTTCTTGAAAAGTTGCTTTCTAATATGCTTTTTCTTACAGTGTCTTGAACTAGCAATTATTTTTGTACTTTGTTTTGCCTAAGTTCTTATTTCTTGTTGTTGGTGTTGATTGAGGTTGAGTTGAGCATGATTCATAGCTACCCTATGAACAAAAAGGGCTTAAGCCTTTCTGTAACTATTATCATTTATCAAAGTTCATAGAGTTTCCAGAGACATGTTGTTTAGGAAGTGGATGCCACTCCTGCTTCCAACTTATTTCTTGGTAGAGCTTTAAAAGTATTATTTTTATTTCCTACTATGAAATTGTCAATAAAGTAATGAGTTCATTTTGTTAGGATTATTTTGTTTTTTTTAATATTCTTTTTTAAAGGGTTTTATATGTTGTTTTTCATGTACGTTTATTATTTGGGTAAACTAGAAAGTATTTCCAAAGCAAAAGAAATTCCTTTGTATGGCTGACCCTTTTGTAAAAGAATTTTAAGATCTTGTTTTGCCTTGTTCAACCCATGACATAATATAGGTGATCTATAGCATACCTCTAAAAACCCTGTGTACAATAGAACACATGTAAACGATCAGATAGGGTAACTGAGGTGGAGCTTTCAAGTATGGAAATACAAAGGAAGAGAAACACGTTGTCAGCAGACACTAATGATTGGTCTTTGCAATCGCTATGTGTCAGAGAGCTAGACAATGACTATGGAGGATAGAGGGATAAATGATGCCTCTTTGAGCTGTGGTGTTGGAGAAGAGTATTGAATATAACATGGACTGCTAAGAAAATGAACAGATTCAGGCTGGAGAGGGTTAAACCAGGGTGCTCCTTGGAGACAAGGATTCTGAAGCTTCGTCTGACTACTTTGGACATGTTGTCATGAGGGACCAGTCCTTAGAGAGAGATGTCATGCTTGGGAGGGTGGAGGGACAATGCAGGAGAGGAAGACCCTGAGGTGGATTGATTTAGTGATTGGGATAATCGGGGTAGGTGTGTTGGAGACAGATTGGTACAGGAGAGAGCAGGGTGTAGGACTGTTGTACAAAGGGTACCTGTGAGTCGCAGGTGAGTCAATGGCACGTAACAACGGCAACATAGCATACCTCATGGCCTGCTGAACATAATACATGAATATGATAGAGCGATAAAAGGTCTTTTGATTTTCCCCCCTTCCAAATTAAAGAAACTTAAAGTTTCTAGTCATTTAATGATCAGATGTTAGTAAAAGAGAGTTCCCTCCTTTCTTTCCTTCTCTTCTTTTACCTTTAATAAAGTTATAAAGGTAAGCCCTTTATGAACATTATAAAGGTAAATTGTGTGGGGAGTACTGGTAGCTTTGAGATAAAAAGCTGTGTTGCAGTCCCAGAGGCCTGTAGTTCTAATCTACCAGCTGCTCCTGGGGAGGATTCACAATCTCCTCCCACATGATTTACTGCCTCTGCAAACCACTGGAAGGTCAGCTGTGAGTCGACTGGAAGACACACAACAATCAATGTGCTAGCCGAAAACCCCAAACCCCACTGCCATGGAGTCCATTCTGATTCATGGTAACCCTCCATTTGGATTAAGGGTGAAAACTGTCCATTTTTCTCCTTTGACACACCTCTTGGATTTAACAACCCAACACATAACAAACTGTGCCAACAGACTTCCTTACTATATGTTAAGGACTAAGAAAAATTAAGCAAAGCGTTGTCTTTCCCTGAAAAGCTCAGAGTCTGTTAACTTGCTGAATTTAAAACAAAGAGAAATAAAAAAACTAACCCACATAAAAAACAATTATTTTTTTACTTTCGTGGATATGTAGAACAAGAGATGTTGTTGCTGATGTCAGATGCATTTTGGCTGAAAGCAGAGAAAACAGTAAAGATGTTTTCCAGAAAGGTGTTCTAACTACACAATGACATTGAACTGTTTGGATCTTTAAAAAAAAAAAAAAAGGATAACATTGCAGAGAATGTGAATTCCAGAACATTTAGTTGGGATAATATGGAATCTGTATGTAGACCAAGGTGAAATTATTCCAGCAGTATAAGGATACTGCATGGCTCACAATTAGAAAAAGTGTATGCAGAGTTGTATCCTTTCACTAATTCAGTGCTGAGCAAATGATCCAAAAAGCTGTACAGATTCAGGATTAGAGTGATAGTGTCTTTCCACATTTCCCCTCTTTTACTTTGTTTTTCTTTTTATGTACATTTAAAAAAATGAGTTAAGTTAAATCTACTCGCTGATTACTTCCAAATATGTCTTTAGCCTTAGACCAGCCTGAAATTAACCATTTGATTCTTCTCCTTGGATATGTAAAAGTCATGTCAAGCTTTAGTAACTTAAAACTGAGTACATGAAGTTCTCATCTCCTACAAACTAGTTTCTTTTCCATCTTAAATATGACAACTCTCTTTTTTCTACACGCAAATTCTATTAGCTTTGCTTTTAAAATATGTTGGTAAGTAACCACTTCTACTAGAAAGAAAGTCTCTTTAGGACAGGGACTTTATTTTTTCCCTTGTTGTGTACCAAACCCTAGCCAAATAGCTAGCAAACGTGTTCCATAGATAGGTGTTGGATAAAGGAATGCATTATTTTGGTTTTAAAGAAGAAAGTTATTATAAATTAACTTTTGGAAAAATATCAGTAGAAAAAAAATTGTATATAGAAGGCAATGTTATATTTTCTAGTATGTAATACAGTATTAAAAGAAATTTATAATTTTAATGAGGTTCCCCCTTCTTGCTTTTCAAGGTTTCTAAATATTCTTTACAGAAGAAAGTGAATGAAATGGTAAGGAAATTACAAAATTATACCTTTTCTCTGTCTTAGTCTATAAAATACATGGTATTTTTGCCAACATAGATTTAATTAACAACAACAAAAAAAAACCCAACCCCAAAACAACCTCAAACTCATTGTCATCAAGTCAGAACCAACTCAGATCTTACATTTCTGCTATTGAGAAAAGCCTCCAAAATTCTGAGTTTGTAATTCCCATGGGAGGAGTTACTTGTAGCACTAACCCCCAGAGAAGTGCTGCCTTGGGGTTAGCAATGCTGTCTACACCCTGGGCCTCTAGAATGTAAACCAAAGACTATTGAACAAGACATTAATGTCTGTTTTAGAGGCCTGCCTTATGTGTAAAATAAAGCTTAAATGAATAATTTCACAAATTTCTAGATTAAATAGGACTTATATGTAATTTTAATCATAGTAATATAGATAACAGCAGGGAGCTCTGGGGGCGTAGTGTTGTGTGGCAATCTTGAGAGCTCGTGGTTTAGACCACTAGCTGCTCCATAGAAGAAAGATGAGAATTTTCCTCCCGTTCAATTAGCTGCCTCTGAAAACCTGCTGAAGTCAGCTATGGGAAGGTTCTGACTCTGTGGTACACAACAACAGCAACAACAACAATTCTTTTAAAAATAAAATTTTACACAATTCCACCAGCTTCTTCATGGGAGAAAGATGGGCAGTTAACTCCTGTGAGATTTACTACCTCTGAAAACCCACTGGATGATCAGCTATGAGTTTGTCCTGACTCAGTGGTATACGACAAGAACACACAGTTCTCAAATTATTGAAGAGCCTTTTATATTAAAAAATAAAAAAGCAACAAAACACATCTTGCTTTAGTGATGTTCATATTTATGTAAACATGTACTATATTATGAAAAATAATATATCAATACAGAATCATTTGAATAATACAGTTGGAATAGAACAGTCATCCTTTCTCATTCAACAAATATATTTTTGTTATGTTTTCCTTTTCTATAATACTTTAAAATTAACATTTGTGTTTTAATGGTAAATATTATATGGAATATTTTTATTCTCTTCTTTCAGGATAGGGCTTCATATCTCTTGTTCATAGGGTCACTATGAGTTGTAGCTGACTCAGTGTCACAGAACATCAGCAGTAACACTATTTCATTCAGAAAGATATTTAAATATGCATTTGAGCAAAATTTTTTCTGCTCACTTAAACGTTCACAGGAATTCGTTAGTGAATTAATGCTATTTCATCTTTTTTCTTTGAACCAAACTATCTGGAAGTAAAATTAATTATTGGTTAAGGTTTAAGTATTATGTATATAAGGAATAATAAAGGAGAGATCACTCTTTATAACATTAAATACAAAACAAAAATATTTTGCTTTTTGAATTGTTTTGATGTGTTAGAAAATAAAAGAGCTATATGAAGAGTGTTAAGCTTGATTGAATAAAAGATGTGATGTGAAAATTCTGCTGCTGTTCAACTGGAAAGAATAAAGATAATATTGTCAGACTATTATAAACTGTGATTTTAATTAAGAAGCTGAAAAACTAGATTCCGGTTTAGCTTTAAGTACCATGACATTTGTACTGAAAGTCATCTTCAACGCTACAGTGGTTTTACACAAAATATAGTGAAATTGAATAATGTACCCTTTGGCCTGGGAGATAAGGCTACAAGTTAAAGATCAAAGGCAACATAAAATGTGTTTTATTTTATTCTACTTAAAAATTTCTTCAAACGGATATTTATGATCTTAAAAAACCTCAACAAAACAACCAAAGCTCACTGAAACAAGTAGTATACTTATGCTAGTTTTGGGTTACTTAAGAGCTTTTGGTTACTGAATTACAGCCCCTTAGAAACCTACAAAATTATATTTGAGTATAGTTATAGTGGTTTTTTCCCAGCAGTTGAAAGTATTAAATAATTTGCCTTAGAAGAATTTTGCATCTTGGAATATATAACATGGGGTATGTTATACAGAATATTTAAATTTTTCCGATATTTAAAAATTAAAACAAATTTGAATTTCCCCTCTTGGGAGACATTTATTGTGATTTGAATGAAAATTCATAGAACAAATTAGTTTCCTATTCTGTAATTAAACACTTTTTGTATCATGATGTTAATTACAGTCCCCTCAATGTAACTGCATTCTTCCCTCTCTTCCTTGAGTTCTCTCTTTTCATTCATCTTTATTTCTCATCCCTTCCTGTATGGTTTTTCATATAAAATTTATATTCATTTATACTAATTATTAATGTATTAGCTAATTTTATCTCTCTAATAGCCTTATGAAGGGAATACTTTTATGTACATTCTAAAACTTTTCCCACAGCTTCTAAGTAACAAACAGAGTTTATTGAACATTGGAAGACTGCCTTTTGATCACATGCTGTACTATGTTAGGTACATGCTTATGAACTGACTCTGTTCATGAAAAAGGAAATTTAGTGGGAACGTTCAGACTTAGCCACAAAGTAGAGGATGGGTTTGAGAAAAAATTGAGATCAGGCTCATTTAAGAGTTGAAGTAGAATGAAGGCATTCATCTTCTACAGAAATCTTTCATCAGGTGAATAGACTCACTGTTGACTTTCTTTCTTTTTCTAGCTTTCCTTGCTTAGCATTCAAATCCCAAGAGGTAGAAATCAGTTGATCTGTTTCAGGTAATACAGTTTCTCTTGGATTAAGGAAATGATGTTGTTAAGTGCCATCGAGTGGAATATGATTCATAGAGACCCTGTGAACAACAGAGCTGAACCCTGTCTTATCCTGCACCATCCTCATCATCTCTGGCATATTTGAGGCCATTGCAGCAGTCACTCTTTCAGTCCATTTCATTGAAGATCTTCCTCTTTTTCATTGATCTTCCATCATCCTTCCTAGTATGACATCTTTTCCAAAGAATAGCTACTTCTAACCACATGCCCAAAGTATGTGAGATGATGCTTCAACATCCTTGCCTCTAAAGGAGCACTCCGGTTACACCTTCTCCAACTCATAGCTGTTTGTTGTTTTGGCAGCCCATGTTGTTGTTATAAGATGCTGTTGAGTTGAGTACAACTCATAGCAACCTATGATCAACAGATTTAAACCCTGTGCTAGCTATTCTGTGCCAATCTCACAATCTCTGACACACTCGAACCAGTTGCTTCAGTCACTGTGTCAGCCCACCTGGTTGAGGTTCTTTCTCTCCTTTGCTATCTCTCCACCTTTCCAAGTATGATGCCTTTCTCCAAGAAATAGCTTTTTCTAGCACTATGCTCAATGAGTAAGAATATGAAGCTTTGCCTCCTTGCCTCCAAGAAGCACTCTGGCTTCACCTTCTCCAAGACATATCTGTTCTTTTGGCAGTCCATGGGATATTCAGTACTATCTCTAATGCCACAACTCAAAGGCATCAATTTTTCTTCTGTCATCCTTATTCATTGTCTAACTCACAGATGCATGGTAAGTGATTGAAGAGATCATGGTGTGAATCAGGCACACCGTAGTTTTCATCACTCCTCAGTGATTTGGAGAGGTCCCTGACTACAGACTTTCCCAGTACAATATGTCTCCTCATTTCCTGACTGCTGGTACCAAGTGTATTGATTGTGGATTCAAGTAAGATGAAGTTATTGACAGTTTCAAACAAAAGAACTTATTTCCCAAATCACTAAGAATATGCTTTATTTTTATTTGCCGTCAAGTTGACTATGACTCATAGAGACCCTATGAACAATGGCTGTGAACCTTGCCCTTTTCTAATCCAACCTCACCATCTTCAACACACCTCACCCCATTGCTGCAGTCATGGTGTTAATCCATCTCATCAAGGATCTTCCACTCTTGCGCTTTCTACCCTTCCAAACATGCTGCCCTTCTCCAAAGACTAGCCCCTCCTGACAACATGCACAAAGTGTGTAAGATAGTGTTTCATAATCCTTGCTTCTAAGGAGCAAACTGATTTCACCCTCTCCAGGACAAAACTGTTTGTTCTTTTGGCAGTCAGTGGAATGTTAAACACTGTTGTCCAGCACCACAACTCAAAGGTATCAATTCTTCTGTCATCCTTAGTCATTGTTCAGCTCTCAGATGCATAGTAAACAATTGAGAAGACCATCCCTTAGGTCGGGCATACCTTAGTCTTTAACTGATATCATTGCTCTTTAGCATTCTGGAGAGGTCCTCGACACCATATTTTTTTTCTAATGCAACTCGTCTTTTGATTTCTTAACTCCTGGTGCCAAGCATGTTGATTGTAGATCTGAGCAAGATGAAATCATTAACATCAGTCTTCCTCCTCTGTCATGAGTACGCTTTAGTTTTCTCTAAAAACGAATGCATGACTGACAACTTTTTCTACAAATAAAAGAGATTATTTTTTTTAAAGAGCAATTATAGGGGAAATAGAACCTTAAATAGCACTTTAGTTAAAAGAAAATATTTGCTTTAATTTTACATAATTGTAGAAATATCTCTTAACTGATATTTCCTTTGTGGTGTGTACTCAACTTTTTTATCATATCTGTATGTGACATAGTAATGACAATAGTCATTTACCATGATATGTTTATATAACATTTAAAATTGCTCTTCTAAATAGGAGCAAAAGGTTCAGTTGCATCTCCTGGCTAAAGAAGATCATCACAGGCAACTGAGTGAAATTGAGAAATACTGTGCCACTGTAACAAGTCAGTTTGCATCGGTAAAAGAGAACCATGAAAAGTTAGAAAAAAATGGTAGGTGCTATTTTTAAATAATAAAAATGTTTTATAGAGCGGGACCTCTAGTGGTACAGAGGTTAAAGTGCTTTAATTTAACAAAAACATTATGAATGAAACAGCTTGAACCCACCCACTGCTTCAATCTGGGGAGAGCGGTGTGGTAAAGATTTACAGCCTGGAAAATCCTCTGGAGTTGTGTTCTCTCCTAGAGAGTCATTATCAGTTGGAATAAGTTTGATGGCAGTGGATTTGGTTGGGTTTTGGTTCTACAGGGAATGTGTAAATGAACTTGTTTATAAAGATTAAGAGAAACTTATCTGGTACTCTATGATATTCAGTGGTAAATGGCAATTTAATGTGTATTTTTTATCAGTAATAATGTAGACATCCTGTTGGAGCTGTTTGTTTCATTTGTGTTAGCAATACATAATGTATGTAGTATGTTTTCCTTAATGTCTTTCTTGTTGCAGTACAGGAAGCAATACAGTTAAACAAAAAATTGTCTGCTTTAAATAAAAAGCAAGAATCTGAGGTATCCAGTTTAAAGAAGGTATGACAGAAACATTTTGTAAAATATTATAGTATTCTGGAATGATACTGGAATGTATTTGGGTATATTGTTTTTGGTGGAACTATAACAAAAATATTTTTAGCATAACTTTCTAAACTTTAAGTTATGATTTTCATAAATATGAATAAATGTATTTTAACATATGAAAATATTTTATTTGTAACTAGTAGTACACATTTTAATGATAATAGTGAGTGGGCATTCACTTTATGTTAACTTTTTAGCACCGTTTATTCATTCATTTATTCACTATTTATGAGTGACTGCTATGTGCCTGGTACAGCTATTAAGAAAAGAGAATAAACTCTCATTTTCATGAAGTTTATAGTCTAATGGAAGAGTTAAACATAAAACAAATAATCATATAAATAAAACAATTTTAAACATATTAAAAGTGATAGGAAAAAAGCCAAAAATTACAGACCAAGAGAAACTGAAACTTTTTTTGACATATGAATGAGTGATAAGCATATGGTGCTAGGTGGATAAAAATAACATCATAGACAAGGGAACATGTTCAAAAGCCTTGAGGCAAGAATGAGAATGAGTTTAGTATATTTGAAGAACTAGAAGTACTCTGATATGCCTAGAATAGCATGAATGAAGTGGTGCATTTGACATTTACTTCTTATTTATTAAGCAGCATTATCTCCTTTCTGATTTTATACAGTTTATTATTAATAGCATGCATATAATTATTCATAATGTGTTTCATTCATGTACATAGTAGGGGTGTGTGTGTTTCACACTTACATTTATTGTTGTTATACTGTATACAATCATTCCCATACATATTTTTTTCTTGTTGTGTACCATTGAGTCGGATCCAACTGGCACAGGAGGAGATCTCCCATTTTCTCCAGCAGAGCATCTGGTGGACTCAAACTGCATGCCTTTTTGATTGCACCCATACATTCTATTTTATAAAATTAATCACCATTGTACTCTACCCACCGTCTTTTCAATGGGCTTTTCTCCCCTGGATCTTTCCCATTTCTTTACTTACTCCCTTCATCAACCAAATTGTGTGATCCCCCTGCCCCCCATTTATCCTCACCCATCTGATCCCACCCCTTCTGTGCTTTGGCCCCCCATATGTGTTTTACTTTTTATTTTTACGGTAATGGTCTTATGCAGTATTTGCTTTTATGAGACTAAGTTAGTTCACTTAGCATAATGCTCTCCAGTCCCTCCCAAGTTATATAGTATTTTTTGAAATTGTTGCTTCTTAGGGCTGCATACTATCCATTTGTGTGAATGTACCACAATTTCTCAGTCCATTTGTTGTGGTTGAACATTGGGCTGTTGCCATATTTTGTGATGATGAATAACATTGCTATGAACATTGGTATACAAATCTGTTTGTGTCTCAGTTCTAATTTTTTGAGGGTATGTACCAAGTATTAGGACTGCAGAGCCCTCTCCTTCCTTTCCCAGAATGGCTACTGAGAGAATCCAATAACAGGAAACAGCAGTTGTTCTTTTTCTCCTGTGAAACTACCCTACCTGCATTTTCCTAGGAATAGTTATCTGAGACCCCAGCCCACTGCCCTGTCAGAAGGAAGCATCTGTATGCATCCTTTTCCCCAGTTCTCATGTAAGAAAGTATAAAATCTCACTCTAACTCTTCGTGGGGGGCTGGTCTTCTGCTTGAGAGCCCGCCTGGCAGTTTCTCCTCAATAAACTTTCTTGGCCTGCACTGAGTTCTGTCCTTCCTCGGCAACCTTACACCAAGTAGTGGAATAGCTAAGTCATATGGAGTTTCTTTGTTCAGCTTTTTGAGGAAACATTTCCAGATGTGTTCCAAAATGCCTTCCAGAGTGGTTGCATCATTTCACAATTCCACCAGCAGTGTATGAAAGTTCCAGTCTCTTCACATCCTTTCTAACATTTATGGCTTGCTGCCCTACTGAACTTTGCCACTGCTACTGTGGTGAGATGGTATTTCATTGAGGTTTTGAGTTGCATCTCTCTTATTGCCAGTTATTTTGGGCATTTCTTCATGTTTCTATTGGCCATCCTAATATCTTCCTCAGAGTGTCAAGGACTGCAGCCTACAATATGGATTGAGGCTCAATGTCAAGAAGACAAAGATTCTCACCTCTGGACCAATTGGCAGCATCAGGATGGATGGTGAAGAGATTGAGATTGTACACAGCTTTAGTTTGCTTGGCTCCATAGTCAACAGTCTTGGAACCAGCAACCAGGAAATTAAAAGGCGCATTGCCATGGGACAGTCTGTTGTTAGGGACCTCTCCAAAGTACTGAAGAGCAGTGGTGTCTCTCTGGAGACTAAGGTGCGTCTGATACAGTCTTTGGTCTTCCCAGTCAGTTGTTATGCATCAGAGAGTTGGACAATGGCCAAGGAGGATAGAAGGAGAATTGATGTCTTTGAGCTGTGGTGCTGGAGAAGAGTATTGAGAATACCATGGACTGCTAGGAAAACAAACAGATTTATCCTGGAAAGGGTTAAACGGGGTGGCTCCTTGGAGGCAAGGATTCTGAGGCTCTAACATACTTTGGACATGTTGTAAGGAGAGACCGGTCCTTGGAGAGGGACATCATGCTTGGGAGGGTGGAGGGACAGCGCAGGAGAGGAAGGCCCTCTATGAGGTGGATTGATTCAGTGACTGGGATAATTGGGATGGGAGTGTCAGAGGCAGTACGATTGGCACAGGACAGAGCGGAGTTTAGGGCTGTTGTACATAGGGTTGCTATGAGTCGCAGGCGACTCGACGGCACATAACAACAACAACAACAATATCTTCCTCTGTGAAAAGTCTTTTCCTGTCTTTTGCTTATTTTCTGAGTTATAAGTCTTTTTCTTGTAGAGGCCCTGTGGGATTCTATAAACTTCTATTATGAGACGCTTGTCTGAGATGGCATTGCCAATATTTTTTCTTCCAGTTAGTAGAATTTCTTTTCACCCTACTGGAAAAAGGTTTTGATGTACACAGACATTTAATCATTAGAAAGTCCCATTCGTCAATTTTATCCTGTCTTGATTGTGCATTTCTGGCTGTATTTGTCAGCCTTTTTATACAATAGGCAAGCTTTGCTGTGTGAATGTTTAAAAAGCTTTAAGGTTGTTCAGTCAAAGGAAATGAGAAGATGTGATAGTCTGTTAACAGGGAAAGATAATCATCTCTGTGTGCCCTAGACCTTAAAGGGATAAGGGGTTCATTGCAGAGTTTCCAGTGTGGTTCTAAACTATTTCGTGTTAGTATTTTCTCAACCCTACTTTCCAGTTTGGGAAGATTCAGCAGCTAGATTCTATAAAGGTGTGTTTTCAGTTTTGGTTAGAGGCTTGGATGTGGTCCGTTATTCACAATTGGATGTGAGCTGATTGGATTTGCCTCCTATATAAAAAACATCTGATTTTCATTGTTTCATAAGTAGTATAGCACTGATTTGTCAATTTGCTGTACCGAGGTAACTTAGGGTTACTTTAATGGTAAGCACTGACATTGATGTTTCAACTGTGATAATGGTTACCCATGGTGGACAGTGTTTGATGGAGTGCTCAAATTAAAACAGGCTTGGAAGCAGGTAACTATGAACGTAGAGAAATAATGAAAGTTCTACAAGTGTTCAGGACTTTCATTCATAGGGTTGCTATGAGTCATCTCTGACTCAGTGGCACTTAACAACAAGGCCTTCTAAGCTTGGTCCAGTTTTGTCTGTTATGATCTATGTGGTTTTGGGCTTTACTCTCAGGTCTCTGATCCACACCATGAATTAGTTGATTTTTGTGTATGGTATGAGATGTGGATCTTGTTTCTGCAGTTAGCAGTCCAGTTTTGCCAGCACCTTTTGTTGAAGAGGTTGTCATTTTTCTGTCTGATAGGTTTTGTTTCCTTATCAAATATTAGTTGACCACATAGATAGGTGGGTCTATTTCTGGGTTCTTGATTTTGTTCCATTAGTCTATGTGCTTGTCATTTTAACAGTAGTATGCTGTTTTGTGTACTACGGCTGTGTTGTAGGTTTTGAGATCAGGGAGTTCTCCCACTCCATGTTTGTTTTTCAGAAGTGATTTGCTTATTTAGGATCTCTTTCCTCTCCAAATAAACTTGCCAGATTTTTGTTTTGATACTGAGCTTTATAGTTGAGCCATAGATTGACAAAAGACCATAAGTACATTCTATTCTTCTTGCGTAAGTCATTGGTGGACAATTGATCTTAGCTAGTGGTTGTAAACAAGAAACCATAAAATCCCAACTGTGACTGATGGGCATCCTGTAACCATGAGTGAATTAAAAAAAAGGAAGAAATAAACAATAAAAAGCAAGACTGGTGAGATAGAAAGATGAAGTTTCAACATGCTTACCTCTAAGGAGCACTCTGTTTGCACTTTGTCTAAAACTGATTTGTTTGTTCTTTTGACAGTCCATGGGATATTCCTTACTTTTGCCAACACCACAACTTAAAGACATAGATTCTTCTTCTGTCATATTTATTTACCATCCAAGTGCGTAGGAAGCAATTGAAAATACCATAGCTTGGATAAGGATCACCGTGGTCTTTAAAGTGATATCATTACTATTTAGCACTTTGGAGAGGCCTTTGACAGCAAATTTTCCCACTGCAACACATATTTTGATTTCTTGACTATTGTGACCATGGGTGTTGATTTTGGATCCAAGCAATTTCAACCTTTTCTACATCTCTCATAATGTTGCTTGTTGGTGAGGAGTTTTGTTTTTTTGATGCTGAGATATAATTCACATTAAAGGCTGTAGAATTTTATCTTTTGTCAAGTGTTTAAAATTCTTTTACTTTTCTGCCAGCAAGATTGTATCATCCGTATAACACAAGTTGTTGATCAGTTTTCTTCCAATCCTGATGCCAGATTCAGAGTTTAGCTTCTCGAATAATTTGCTTAACATACAGAATGATTAGATATGGAGAAAGGATTTAACTCTGACACACAATTTGCCTTATTTTAAATTATGCAGTGATTCCTTGTTCTCTTTGGA